CAAGGAGTATTCAATGAAGCCCCTGTGCATTAATGTTTACTTTAACAGTAAATTACCAAATTTTAATTTTTCCAACTTTGAAGCATAGTCTACTGCCACATAAATCTCCATGCGTTCGCCTAAATATGAGCTACGGATAATGATATCTTCTCAAACACAGATTTATCCAGGCCTGGTTCCAGAGTTAAATACTGAAAGTGCTTCAAAAATTAGTGAGTGTGCTCTAGCCTCAATGAACATGTTCACGTATACAGTATTTTTGTCCCATCCATTACTCGTTCGAGTGTGAATCCTGCATAAAATATGTGAATGTCATTCCCGAAACTTTGCAGCGTGTATGTGGCCGAAAAACTAAAGTTTTAAACAAATTCTGAATGGATTATATATAGCCTAGAAAGCACACAATGAGCACTCCTTTTATTGTCACTAAAAAGCTGTCCCTTGTCTTAGTTCATCGCAATCTCATGACGTTTTGTTATACTGTAATGAGAGGATTCGTGAGCGTCCGAAACTTAGAAATGTACAAAAACTCTGGTGTTTTGAGCGGTGAGTGGATTCTAACTTAACTCTGATTGGCAATTGCATTCAAGAAATCAACAGGTAGGTCTGTGATTGGCTACATTGCTAAACGCTGCAAAAAAGCACGATGTAAACAGAAACCTTTTGACGCTCTCCAGAGTGCAAACACAAATATGCACTGGATAGTTTGCCAGATCTGTTTCGCCAATATGAATAGAGATCATTCAACATTCATACAGATGAAAGCATCGAATACCTTACACAAATCCTGCAGGATGTAATGAAAACAGAAGAGAGAAAAGACATGAAGCCAAAGAACAACAGAGTGTAACAAATTCCAGCTGATCAACAGTTTGAGTTACTTATACGGGCACTATGAAACATGTGAAAGAAATGGAGAAACCTTTTAATCTGACACAGACTGACACAGTATGAAGTTTAATCAGAATGAAATCAGACCTCAGACTTTAAAAAGGCATACTCTATACTTTTGTATCATGCTACAGTATGTATAAATCAAATTCTTGTATTTTATAACAGGAAACTTGCTTCATAAATGAGATGCACGTGCTAAAATGAGCAATTTGGGAGAAAAGAAGTTTGTTGTTGTTTAATTCCCACTGAGAATACTCACACAGAGCTGATTATAAGCAGGAGTTTGGAAACACTGTAGAGAGCCAGGCCTTCAGATCCATGGTCTGGGATGTGTCTGGTCTGTGTGGATCCTGCGACAGCACATACATTATAATCAATAACACTGAGAGAGCACTTAAAAAGTACAACAAAACAACATTATTATCCAGAGATAATGCATAAAGTGTCTTTGGCTAATGTCGCACCTGCCACGTGTTTGATGCGATGGATGACACTCTTCTCATCCTCAGGTGTGGTGACGGGGCTGAGCGCCTCATCCAGGTGCTGCTGCCTCATGTGCGTCAGGGGCCGTTTCCTCCGCCTCATTGTAGCTGTGCGTAGCGCTTTGGATTTGGGAGACTGTGTGTGAGGTTCAGATAGCACCAGCTGTACCTTACTCAACTCCAGCTCTACACATAGAGCAAAGAGAGAGAAAGACACATCGCCCTTGACAATGAAAATGGAGCACGTTTTCCTCAGGCAATGAGTCAAATTTTTAACACGACACAGAGGACAGTTAGTGGTAACATGTAGTGATGTTCGTCCTTTGGAATTGATCACTTGATGCTCTCAGAATGGAAATGTTCCTTGCAGCTGCTCTCTTCTTGTTTTAGGGTTTACACCTGCTGATCCACCAAATTTACAAAATAAAAGAAGCAGTTCCAGATCCAGCCAATAACTGAGGAACGCTGCCACTTTACAATGTTTCAGATCCAAATGGTTCATGAAGGTTTTCCATTCCGGTTATCTAATAGTAACATTTGCATGGTGAGAAAAAATTAATTCTGGCAAGAAAAACAAAATTGTGACACTGTTATCCTAGAAATATCCAGAGGCAAACATCAGTTTACACAAATCCAAAAACAGAAAAGTGTTTGACTGCTTGAGGAAACAACCACCTGCTTCGGGGGGAAAAAAACTCTCTCTTCAGACAAAAAATTTTTTTTCTTTCAAAATTCTTTCTTCAGCATGGATATTCAAAATTGCACGCATTAATATCCTTGCAAGCCAAGATGCGTTCATCTGCTGTGAGTCGCTTTTGAATAAATTTCTTCCCAGAGGATGCTAAATTTGTCTCATTAAATCTCACAGAAAGACCAACTTGAGCTGAAGCAACCCTTTACTGCACAAGAGTTCTCACTGAGACTTTCTACAAAACAATTGTGCCAAGAGGAGTGGGGGTGGCCTGAGAGAATGTTTGTGTGTGAGAAACAGGGAGGGGGAGGAGCTAGGGAAGCCAGCTGGCCAATAGAATGCCAAGGAGAAGAGAGAGGAGGGGCCGTGTCAAGATGTAGTAAGCTCTTTGCTTCAGGCTGTACATTTTTCTCACTCATGATCGAAGAGCTGTGAGATTTATATGCTTCTCCTAGGACTGTCATTACACCCCTCCCAATCCCAGGCCAACCTAGATTTCATGTCTCTCCAGAAATGTTGCAAAAACACCATTTATACTGCAGCGATAGCTGCTGTTGTCAGTTTCCTGAAGACCCTGAGGCGCTTAATGCCTGAACAAGACACTTCAGCTTCCACAAATGTTTTCAATTCATTGCGACACCCATGCAAAGCAGAGGGGTTTTTTGTTTCATGAGGTGGGAGTAAGAGATCAAAACAGTGGGAGTTGGAGAAAAATATAGGATGGAGAGATAAAGAATGGTTGAGAGAGAATCACAGAGGCCCCCATTGTGCACAAGTCATTTTATGGTGTTAGTGTTTAGGCACAGCCAAGGACAACGCCTCAGTCTTCCTTCACTCCCTCATACTCGCACTCTCATGGGGTGAACGAACTCTAGTTAACTTCCTGCGCTAGAGGAAGGGGGGACGTTGAGGGGATGCCAAATGGGTGAATCATCTCTCTTTCTGGCCTCTCCTTCAATCCCCTCTCAAGCAAAACATTTGAGGCCGCTACTGAGGCAGACTCATTGTTCAGCTCAGGAGCAAGACACTAAGTAGAAGAATCTCATTGCATTTGTTTTGGAAGCTCTAAGAAAGTCCCTTATTTGAACAACTATGTTGGGTTGTCACTTGATGCCAAATGTCAAGTCTGGGTCAAATTGGTATTTAATTTGAGATAGTAACCAAAATCTAACCAGGTGTGGTCATTGGAGAAGGAGGAGGATGAGTCCTGTTCTTCTCAAGATTTTTCCTCTGCTGGCTTAACGTCATATGGAGTATTTTTTTCCTTGCCACAGTTGCTCTTCGCTTGTTCACTCAGGGTTTGAAGGCCTAATGCATCATTTTCTGTAAAGGTGCTTTGAAACGTAATGGATTGTAAAATGCTCTATACAAATAAAAATCACTTGACCCTCCCCGCGACCACATGGGATGTGATTATTTACAGTCCTGTGGCGAAAATGCTTTTTCTTCACTGATGCCCAACTGGAATGAAGAAGAGTGTTTACAGTTGACATCTTACAGCTTGTGCCTGTCTCATCTGTCCACCCAGGAAAAACAAAAATGAGCAAAGTTTATTATTTTCTGATAAGCTCACACTTGGAGAGAGTCCCAGCATCATTGTTTCCAGCTGATTTTTATTAACAGGCACCGTTATCTGCACACAGCTGCTGGTGTCCACACATCCTGTTTTCTTCTGTTTATGGAGACATGCAGAAGCTCTTCATACCCATCAGACTGTCCTTGTACCCCCCTTACATTTTTAAGCCAAGTTTGAACCATCATCCATTCACATGTTAAAATTTGGTCAGTTCAACTGAGTGCAGATAATTTGGTTCAAATTGAAAATTCATGTTTTCAATTTATTTTATCAGTGGAATTTCAGCAATGAAAATGCATTAAATAAAACAATATAATATAATATAATATAATATAATATAATATAATATAATAATCAATATTTGTCCATCAAATTGCAAAAAATATGCCTGTGAAAAACTGTAAAATAGTGTGCATTATATAAACATTCAATTCTGCTTTTAAAGTGATTATGGGGGGAAATGGGGATAAAATGTAGACAATAAGAGAACTTTTCAGATTATTCTCGCAAGAGAGAGAGAGAGAGAGAGAGAGAGAGAGAAAAAACAGTAATCTGACATGAGTTTCAGGAGAATCTCATATGAACTGAAATGTTTTTCATCAAATTCCTTCAGAACCAAGTTATCTGAGCTATACTATGCATTTAAATTTTTAGCTGTATTATGTTCGAGCAGTAACATAGCCTGATCCATTGCAGAAAATGAAACACTGTTTATTTGAGAGAAAGAACACTGCAGCCTTTGTTCTGCCGTTCTGCAGTGCACTTTCATAGAGATGGCCCAGAGGTTATGACCAACCATAACACATTGACAAAACATCACAAAGGCACTTGTAAAATGATGAAAAAATGTCATCAAGAGCTGGCTGACCCGAAGAAAAAATCTATTCTTTCCCACAGGAAAATAAATGCTGGGAAAAGTCAGGCCAAACATCCAGCCTTAGAGAAGCAGAAAAGCAGTTTAACTCAAACAACACTGGGAGGAGACAACCTCCCAGATTCACATGATTCTCATCATCCTACAACTGATAAAGCCATGCCCAGTGTTGTCCAATGTAGCAATGTTTATATTAAAGACAATGAAATCAAATATAGTGAAAGTAACCATGCTATGGGCTATTATGTGCAAAAAGGGGCTAAAATCACATTACATCGTAACATTACAATCTAAAAACAAAATCAATGCTCTTTAAATCAGAAGTTAAATTCACTAAACTAAAAATGAAAAGAAATAAAAACAAAAGCACAGATTAATTGCATTATATTTTGATTACGCCTTTACAATAGTCCCTTTACAGTTACTGCTATCATAAAATACACTTACCTGTAGGTTTAAAATTCTACACATGGCACATTTATTGTCCAACTACAAATATTTTAGCAAAATGTATATTTTAGTCAGAATTATTGCGCTCCTTTATGGCGCATGTTCCCTGAAGTCTGTGAAGTTTAGCAGAAAATCGCATGCAGAAGGCTCATGCGCTCCTGACAGCAAAATGGAAATATTCTATGACTTTCTAACACATAAAGATGGAGAATATGTGTGTGAAAAGTTGCGTCTCTGTAAGCAGCACATGTATCCGGCAGAGCATCTGACGGGGCAAACCGCTTTAAACTATACGTGCTAACTATATCTGACCAGTTATTTTAAAGCCCTTTATATAAGTAGGACAAATGTTTAGGACAAATTGGATTATGCACTTTCCCCGCAGCAGCTAACTCTGTGTCCTCTGCTATTTTTCAGATGCGCTTGTATCAGACTACTGTATATCGATATAGGTGGTATTGCCTCATATCATATCGTTCATAAAAAATATATTGATATATCATACAAACTCAATATACTGCCCAGCCCTAAATGCCAATATCATACAAACACACAACACAACATTGAATATCAAAAATCACTGATATAAGCAGAACATACAAAAGAATAAAAACAGACTTACGTTATACCAGCTTTGACTTTTCTGTGAGTTTGAAGAATCCGAATTTGATGGTGGAAGAAACAAGAGAAGAACAGAGGAACATTAGAGTGAGTTTTTAAGGGAGTCATTCAAATACATACAAACACTTATATTAGACTATATACATATTATACACGCATCACAGGGTTTAATTCAAAATCTGCAGGTATACCTGTGTGTTGTCCACAGATTCCTATCTATCTATCAATCTATCTAGCTATCTAGCTATCAAAAATGTTTGATCAACACAGGTATAAGTGCACTTCATTTTAGTATATCATAAAACAAAGGATTATGGGAAAGCTCTGTTTGTGTATGGGATTTCATCGGTGCTTGTATCATTACACATTCCTCATACACAAAGCTGTGTATGACCACCACAAGGGGGCAGTATTTACACTAAATTAAACTGTTTTTTTTTTAAAGGGGCCATATGATAAGATTTCAAGTTTTCCTTTCTCTTTGGAGTGTTACAAGCTGATTGTGCATAGATAAGATTCCAGAATTTGCAAAGACTAAAGTCTCAAAACCAAAGAGATATTCTTTATCAAAGTTAAGACTCTGCCACGCCCCCCTAAAACGGCTCGTTCTAACACGCCCCCACATATCTACCTCACTATGTGGAAATATTTGCATAATGCCACCCAAATGTTCACGCAAAGAAAGAAGGCGTGGCTTCAGTAACCGCAGTTAGTGTTGAAGCAGCCATGTCAGGGAGACGCTGTGTGTTACTAGGCAAAAGCACTTTATTTGATACAATAATGTACAGTATTTTAAAAATAATGTGTTTTTTGAACATTAAAGCATGTCAACATATTCTGTTACACCAAATACACAAAATAATGATCTTTAAAAAAGCATCATATGACCCCTTTAAAATGTTGCTAAACGTTTTGTACGTTTAAAAAGAACAGATCTACAACATCACAACTACCTCAAAACAATCTTAGCAGTGATTATGATACAGTTTTATGGTACATACACACAAATAAAAGGCCTAAAAGCAATCTTTGCAAAACTCTCTTTCTCTAACTCCAAACATCAGCAGAATGGAGACAGATGTGTAATGAGAGCATTGGACAGAGCATTGGGACTCTACAGTTCTCTACTGCAGACTCTTCTCACAGGACGGGTCAGGACTCAAGGGCACAAATACTGATTTCTTACTTTAATCAGGTTTAGTCTGTCATACTGGAAAGAAAGTTTATCACGAGTAAGAGGTCAGGTGTGAGATGTTTTACTAATATATATATATATGTTTTTCTGCCTCTGCGACACAAGTAATTTGTCTCTACTGTGGCATTGTTAACTGAAATCTGCTTTGGTGTGATGCTGCCTTGGTACAGTTTGTTGTCAATTACAAGTTAACAACTTTTTTCATAGTGTATCAGACACACTTCAAAACATTTAACTTGGCATTACTAGCTAGCTTCACACAGGGCTTGTTTAGTATCTACTAGGTTAGCACAGACAGGTGAAGCAGAGCATAATGGGATGACTCACAGGCAGGGTGGAGGTACAGTAGAGCAGAAAAGAGTGATGCTTACTTTAGACAGTCTCTTGTGTGACTAGCATGCACGAGAGGAAGAACAGATATCAGAAAACAAACAAAAACAAAACTGTATGAATAAGTGCAGAGAAATAAAAAAAAAACTGTTGGGTGGTAAAGCTTCTCCACATAGCAGAAGAGATGTTCTGTGAATTACTCCTGTACATGAGGTGCTGATGGATATGAAATGATTATGCAACGATTACTGACTTCAAATCGGACCAGAATGTAATGTGCCTCACATTGTGACAGGCATAAAGTATTTCTCAAATGATTTCCTTTTGTAAAACATACTTTTTCATAAAATACATTGTTCTTCTTGAAGAAGAGAACTTAACCTTTTATCTTGCAAATGAAATCCTTCAACAGATGCAATGATATGAAAATGAAAGCAAGAGTTCAAAATCTACTGAGCTGCCTCGCAGTCTACTGTACATCTTTAGAAGCATACAATATGCAAGTACAAATAAAAATATTAAATTAAAGATATTATAATATAATACATATTCATATTAAATATATTACATATAAATGTGCATATATATATATATATATATATATATATATATATATATTTATTTATTAAATGACAAATGCATACAACCAAATTTCAAAACTTAACATTTAAATGAAAAACAAAAAATAAAGCTAAAAACAATTCAACATATTAAAGAACATATTAAAGAACAAAAGGTATAAGAGTATAATAATGATTCTAACAGAACACTAAGCCAAACACCAAAAAAAACATCTACATACAGTATATGTACAACCACACACACATATACATATATATATGTATTTAAAAATTACTAAGATATGGTTATAAAAACTGAAACAGAAGCGAAACAAGTAATAGGAAAGAGGAGAAATAAAAAGCTATACTTGTATATATATATATTGACTCATCTGGGACTGCCACAATGAATATGCTGCTAACATAATATGATGTCTGAAAAAGTTTTTTAGGTAGGCAGCTCACTGGGTTTTGAAGTCAATTTACTGGAAAACTAAAAGTGTAAACATTGTTATCATGTATGAACATGTGGACTATCATCTCTATGAGTAGAAATCATCTGCAATTTTATAATGTGACTCAGAATTGAGTTTAAAAACCTGCACTGATAAGAAATTTGATCCCATAGTAGCAATAAATGTGCAAGACATGCAGTATATGAAAACGGAGAGAGCAGAAGTACTGTAAGTACAGTCACACATGTTTACCTTGGAGTTCTTCCCTGCGGGGCGGGTGGTGTGAAGCGACTGACTGTAGGTGCGCTGGACGGCCTGTTCCGGGGTGGAGGGGGATTTATCGGAAGAATGATCGGAGCTCTTTTCCACCATGTTCTCTCCCTCTGGACTCTGGGGCGTTGGGGAGCGCGAGCGTTTACGCAGGACAGGTGAGCAGGCCGGCGAGCTGCGGTTCGAGTTACTGGCAGTGCTACAGAAACAAGACAAATATCCAGTAAAAAACAGATTCTACACATCAAAAGGAATACAAATGTTTGTTGGACGATGGCCGGACAGTTAGCACACGACTTCCAGACACACTGATCTGTGGTGCTCATGTGGGAGATGGTTCAAGTTTTCTTTAAACCAGCAAAAGGCTTAATAAACATACTAATAATAAGTCATGAACTCATTTTAAAAACAACAGAAGTCAACCACCAAACACACATTTTCCCTGCAGGCCACTCATTGGCCTTTCACCTCTGCCCTGTCAGCTTCTAGGAATGTATTCAGACAGACATCTCACAACTCTGACCAAAAACACAGCAGTGGGGGTCACACCAAAACCCGCTGCAGTTCTGCTGGGAATTTCCACATCACTGACATCATCATATTATCTTTAGAAGAAATTATGAATGTAAATTCAAAAGGTGATCAGAGAAACAAGATTGGTCAAAACACAGGAACTAAACATCTGATGATCTTTCTAAAGCACAAAACTGAGAATGTAAAAAAATGAAATTAAACAGCGAGCAATAAGAGACCTTTCTCCTTTCTCATATTTTTCTCCTGAGACAAATATAATATCCAACAAGTTCTCAATGTGGGCTTAGATTTTTCAATCAATTCAATCTGCAATCAAAAATCTCAATATGAACTCAAATATATCTCTCTAAATTTTCCAGTACCAAATGAACCGAGTTATACTTTTGTATTGCCTCATTTTATTTCTCCAAAGAGCTTTCAGGAGAAACATCTCAGGCAAAGTTGTTTCTTAAAATAAAGCATAACTGAGAACTCCATTAATTCTTCTAGGCTAATGAAGAGTAACCTCTAGACATTAAAGTCGTCTTCTGGGAAGAACCATCAGAATGATACTCACTGGCTGACCTCAAACTCACAGAATCTCTCAATCAGACTATTTGCTTACAAAGGTCAAGATCATGTTAATAATACAGAAAATGAAAAGCTTTTTTTTCAATCAGAAGGGGAAGCACTTCACCTATCTCGGTCTCAATCTCTCTATGCAGCAATCCTCCATCTTCCTGCTGTCAGCCCTTTATCTGTCCTTCAGAAAGGGCACCAATCTTAATTATTAATGTTCGGTACCTGAGCTAAGAGCTGCCCGTCTGGAAAAACAAACACAGTGTGACAAAAGAGAGATAAAGAGAGAGAGAGAGAGAGAGAGAGAGAGAGAGAGAGAGAAAATACAGCAACTCATAAAACACCTCACAATCTCTCTGGGTTCATATCAACCTAATGCACTTGTGCATTCAGGCAGCCGTTCCCTCCCAGAACACACATCCACGTGTTGTACAAGGTTCTGGCGGCGAATAAATCATTGCAGATGAAATCACTTCACAGAAACAGTGGCATCAAATTACCGGTGCATAGATCTACATCTGTCATGCTGTCAAGAATCTGTTAGATCAGCTGCTTAAATGTTTTCTTGTACATCATCGGATTTCATATACAAAGTGAGGATGGGAAGCTCAGTTCTGGTAAATTAACTGCTAAGCTGATTTTAAATTCTGTAATATTTTGTCTAAATAAGTATTCTAAATACTAAAATCAATCATTTTAAATGCCATTAGTGAATTTAGGTATCACAACTTTTATAATGTACAGTATGAAAACTGATCTAAAATGTAAAAACATAAAAACAACCATGCAGATTTAAATATTCAATACTGACTGATAAATCACTGATATATAAAAAAATATAATGCACCCCTACATACCGCCATGTTACTCACCAGGATTATTATAGTTAACTAAAAAATAAAACCATAAAAAAACATTCATTACCTGAAATAAAAGAAATGTTAACTATAATAATAAATAATATATATATATATATATATATATATATATATATATAAACATATTTTAGCTAGTTGGCAAGGCGACATTTCTAATTTTCCTTCAGTTTAACTAAACTAAAATAATGTTATAGACATTTAAATAATTATATATACATTTAAAATTTTTAAAATGACAAAAACACCACACAATTGCTAAAATTTTACTAAAATTAAAATGAAAATCTTCATCCCAATTACAGTGCATTACAAGGAATATCATAATTTTATAATTGTCTGGACATTGAATATTCTTTTGTACTCTTCTTCATCTTTTCTTATTTTATTATTTTGTATGAAGTATTCCTCTTACAAATCTGAGCTATGTGTGTACCCTTTTTTTGATGGTTTCTTGTTATATTTGTGCTATAATCACAATTCAATAAACATAATTATAAAAAAATACAAATATGTAAATAAAAACTCAAATTCAAAATATTAACGTGTCTCAATGATACTAAAATAAAACTGCTACCCACTAGTTGTGCACTACATAGTACATATATTGTGCAAAGTGTGTGAATTATTTAAAAAAAATGTCTACAGTACATACCGCACAGATTCCAATAAGCAGTTAGCTCGTAATCCATTCAAAACATGTCTTCTATAAAAGCTTTGTTCATCATGTCCAGCACCTGATGCTAGTGATAAAAGGTCTTTATCAAACATCCAATAGAAAAAAGCAGTTTTTGTGGGTGGCCGTATGGTTCTCCTCACCTCTCACCTGTCATAGCGGCGCTCATAAGGGACCTAATGACAGGCCACAGAGGTGTATTCACATGTGTATGTGTGAATGCAGTTTTCACATTTGTGCTTAAATGTTGAGACCAAAAAACCAACACGCATGGTCTAAGACATTTTCTCAAACCACCAGTCAGAAGATACGGCTCTCTCACACTAGCCTACATCACAGAGAGCAAAAAGCAGTGATAAACATCTTTCTCACACTCGTTGAAGTGGGGAAAACACTCCTGTGTGATGCTAAAAAAAAAAATGCTTGCAACATGCAGAAAATGTGATGCATTGCATTAGTATTAGATGATGCATTAGTATATCAGATACTAATTCTAAAAACATCCAATTCTAAGAAGAACTGCTTAGATGGGTTTAAAGATGCTGGTAACATCAAATAAATTACTCAATTAAATATTGCAAGGTGGCAAAAGCATCTGTGATAACTAAAATACTGGAAATTGTCGCTAATGGACATGTCAAGTGCGACTTCCCATCATGCAAATGCAAAAACAATGACTTCCCTTCATGATTTTCATGCAAAAATCACACATAGACAAACCTGGTGGCCATGAGGGGCTACATGAAAGCGTTGGGCTCTGCTTCATTCATTCAGTGCGGCTGCAGTGTGGGGATGGAGTGATGTGACGAGAGAGGAGGAAAAGAGGAGGCGGAGCATATCATCTCTGAGTCCAGCATCCCTGTTTTTTCTAGCAAGCTTTCTCGTTTTCTCGCTTTTCCGCATGGCCGTTTCCTCTGCTGTCCTGTTAGTCGCTCGCTATCGTTCTGTCAGGGTCAGCGGGGACAGGAGGATGGTGAGCTGGCGTGAAAAACGGCTCCTGTGTGGCGCAGTGTGGCGGCTGGGGTTGATTTAATATTCATGGCTTTCTTGAATGAAGCCACTCACGTCAGCAGCCTGAACAACAAGCCAGTCTCTGGCTCTCTACCCCTCCCCCTGTCCAATCACACCACTCCCCTTCTCTCACTCTTACTCGCTCGCTGACTCTGTCCGCTCCTGTGATGCATATGCCAGCAAATCCTGCACGCATACATTTTGGACTGTATAACTTGTATTGTAACCAATATTACTATTGCATATTGCATATGTGTGAATGATGCCTCAAATCTTCAGTGTTGTTGAAGAGCAATGTGCTATTATTTTTCTTAACAATGAGACTTGTTTTATTCAAAAATATGAATTCCTGTGATAACAAAGCTGAATTATCAGCATCATTACTCCAGTCTTCATTGTCACATGATCCTTCAGAAATCATTTTAATACGCTGATTTGGTGTTCAGTTATTAGGGGCCAAGAACCGAAGGTGCGATGGCAACTATTGTATCCGTTGGTGTTCTTCTTCTTCTCTGGGAGTCTATGGCAGCCCATAGAACCACTTGTGGGAAAGTTATGAAATTTGGCACGCAAATAGAGGACAGTCTCAACATTAACCATAGCAAGTTTGGAGTCTTGAACTCAAAACCTCTAGCACCACTAACTAGTTCAAATTTGCATATATGTTTATGCTAATAACATTTGAACTGTAGAGTTTAGAAGCAAAATTAGTTTTTCCTCAGATTCCTTGGCTCATGCAAAGTTGAATGCACACCAAAATGTAAAATTCAACAGGTCAAGATTTTTCGCAATTTTTAATAGTTTAAAAACTACTTTTTCAAACGCGTCCTAGACGGTTTGTCTGATTTTCACCAAAACTGGCTCAGATCATCTTCAGATCACGCTGGCTAGAAGCTATGGAATTCAAGTAGATTAGTCAAATCGTTCTTGAATAATGTGCGAATGAATTTGAGGCTTTATCTGCACAGCACTTTAGCGTATTGAGACCAAACTTGGTGTGTGTTATAAGAACCATGACCTGAGGCTACACGGACAGTTTGGAGGAGATATAAAAAATTGCTATTTTTGCTTATGACTTCTGAATGGTTTGGGGAAAAAATGGTTTCTTAAGATTCAGTGCAGCATGCTGAGTTCAACCATATCCAACAATTTCCCATGTCAGTCATTTTGGGCATTGCCCATTTTTAATTTTGTCATAAAATACTATATTTTATAAATGCATTGGCATATCATTACAAAACTCAGTATGTGTCTTTGGCACCATGCCCTGGCTGATGGTACTCCAAAGGTTTTGGGGCAGCACCACCTTGTGGTTATAATGAAGTTATAATGAAATTTTAAAAAATGCTAATAACTTTTGAGTATATTGGCCTGTAATGAAACTGGTCTCAATATATTCCTTGGGTCATACCGAGAACATAGATACCAATTTTGCCATAGTCGGCCGAACCTACTTTAAAGACTACTTTTTTGAACTCCTCCTAGACCGTTTGTCTGATTTTCACCAAATTCGAGTCAGATCATCTTCAGACTGCTGACAAAAAGTTATGGATTTCATGTCCATAGACAAAACTGTTTTGGTATAGTGCTGCAACAAATTTAAGGCATGATGCCAAAATGACTCTAAATGGCTAAATGGCTGTATCTCTGCAAAGTTTTGACATATTGACACCAAACTGGCCCTTGTCCCAAATGGAACACTTCATGTGCACTTACGGTCTTACGGACTAACAATGGCCGCCGGATGCACATCTCCGTTATGTCCATAAGACCGTAGAGTGTCCTATTTGTCATTTTAGCATTCAGAAGGGTCCTCGTGAGTGCCCCCTTTGCGGCCGTTATGCTCCCTCAATCTGCACTTCTGCCGAGCCCACACTGGGGCGAGCTCCGCAGCAGACTTCTACCCGACAGTCAAAGCGGTATTACGTCATGAAATTGCGGACTCAGAGGAAGACCACGAGGGTTTAGGGTGTAATTTGGGACAGGGCCACTGTGTGTGCCATTGCCAACTCACACTGACCATGCCACATCAATTTAACAACGGTGCCACCTATTGGTTAAAAGTGATAAACCAGTATTACTAGTGATTATATATATGATTTTTCAGCCATTTTGATTAAATCATCCTCAAATGGCTTTAATCACTCATTGTTGCAGTTGGTCTGATTCTCCATGCCATGCTTAGCTCCTCATTTAGCTTCTGTTGTGCTTGACCTCTTAATTGCTGCTTGCAGCTGTATTTTTCAATTATAACTGGTGCTCAATTATTAATAATGGTTCTGACTATTATACATGCTGAAAACTGTTTTTTTTCTTCTATTATTATTTTTGTTGTTTTGTGGAAACCATGATACATTTTTTCAGGATTCTTTGAGATATATAAACATCATTAATTTGAAATAAAAATCTTTTGCAAAATTTTAAGCAGCACAAACGGTTTTCAACATTGATAATAATAAATGTTTCTTCAGCAAAAATGATTTGTGTTTTCGGTAGGATTTCTGTAGGATCATGTGACACTAAAGACTGGAGTAATGATGCTGAAAATTCAGCTTTGCATCACAGGAATAAATTACATTTCAAAATACAGTAGGGCCTATATTAAAATAGAAAGCAGTTCTTTTAAATTACAATAATATTTCTCAATATTACTATTTATTTTTTTACTGTATTTTTGTTCAAATAAATGCAGCCTTGGTGAGACATTAAAACATAAAAAAAATCTTAATTATTCTAAAAATGTGATTGGAAGTATACGTATATTAGACCAGAGTCAGATCAAAATCAGAACAGATTAGGTATGATTAGAGGAGAGTCTAATCAGATCAAAAAGGTCTGTTTAAACTGTCATCTGTTCAGTTTAGGGTCTAAAAAAAATTGCATCAGATCATGATTCAATTATATTACTCAAATCAGCTCAATGTCAGATGAGATCAAAATTAAATCAGATCAGAATCAGATCAGTTGTATACAACTATAGTACATTAAATTAGGGTCTTATCACAGAGATCAAATTTGGGTCACATCAGATTGTAATCATAATTCAAGAATAATCAGATGATTCACTATCACAACATCACAGAAACATAGAGACAGGAATAAGACAATAAAAATAACAAAAGATCAAATCAAACCATGAATGTGTGAATCAAATCAAACTAGTCTGATCTACACTGAATCAGAGAGAGAGAGAGAGAGAAAGAGAGAGAGACAGCGCATTTCTGCTTAAAATAGGCCTGTAATCTGCTCAATGCTTTTTAACTGCAGCACTGAGTCTGAGTCTGTGCTACTACAACAAATCACCCCATAGAATTAAACACAAACATAACTGGAACAAACAGCCCATCTTTACTATAATAAAAGTTTTAGAACAAACAGTAGCCCATGTATACTGTGAAAAGCATGCAACATTTTGTATGCATAGAATACCCAGCTCACCTACTACTGTACAATTGCCAACATGTACGGTATACATCAGATCACACTGCTTGGAATGGCGTATCCCACAATGCAATGCACTTGACCTCTATTTTCCATGAGACAACTGAACCATAAGGAATCAATCATAATAAAAATATCTTTCTTGTCTTATTATTTGCAAAAAGGCATCTTTTAAGGTGCTGTATGTAATTTTTTGACTGTACTAAAGCATAAAAATACCTTAACGTGTTTGCAGATATTTAGAAAACATGCCAAGTTCACATATTCACTTTTCCGAAAAACAATACTACAGACAGTTATTCTACTTTGAAATGTGCAATCCATGTCAGAATGTCTGTTTTTGTTTTTGTTTTTATGATTCCGCCCACTGCCAGTTTACCCAATTGGGTTCTGACATCCCCGGTTGCCAATTGGTGGAAAACACAGCGTATTTCAGCCATGGAAGCTTGGCTTCAGAGATCACAGATTCTACTCGACCTAAAAAGCCTCGGCAACCATTTAAAAAGTCATTACATTACATTGTAAAGCTTGTCACCTTCCATTGTCAATTGTGCTCATTCCTGTTGTGTGTCCTTAATCTGGCAACCCACTTGAACCTCGAGTCTGAGGAAGAGGGGG